TCAGGGGTTGATTGGTTGCGAGGATGCTTGATTAGTATCGGACGATAGGATAGGTAAAGATTTTTGCATTCCTTTTCTCACGACGCAGTTCGAGAAGAATCGAGTTGCCGAGGTTTTGTTATCTTTTTCAGCGGGTTTTCTAACCTTTTGCACTCTGAATTTTATTTCAATTTCGTTACCAGCAGCTCTCAACGCTTTTAAGTGTTTTATTTGAAATTTACATTAACCAAAGAATAAGACAATTTAAGTAAATAAACGAAGAAAGAAATTCACTTAGATACCAGTTTTATTCACATTATTGTTGCATTTTGTAATTTTTAAGCGTATCATATATCTTGAAACAATTTCCAGAATGCAATCCTGGTTTTCTTTCGCGCGTTGCATAAAAAAAAGGTGGGACTGAAAAAATGTCGAGTGGGACTCGACAAAGGAGCTCCTGCGATAAAAACTGATGTCGTGTCACATAGGAGTGCAAAGGGTTAATTCTCCGGTTGTGAGTCACGATGGATCTTCGTCACTTGGATCACGCGTTTCGATTCAACGTTAAGCTCTTCGAACGACGCGAATCTCTTTTGGAAAGGGAGGAAAGTCAGATTCGATAGAATTTCCTTTCTTCGTCGTTCGCGAGTCCTTTAGTTTAGGCGAATCTCTTGGTAGACGGCGAATAATACAACGGTTACGTTTGTACGCTGTTTTGATAGATCACGTTGAACTTTGGATAGATAGCTGTCACTTCTTTCACAACGATGAAATACTTTCCTTCCAGTTAGAACGTTTCTAACTTAATAAATCTCCGAACGTATTAATCAAGTTTTTATTCTTTCGCCTCGTAATAAAATACGGTACGATAGTGGAAGAATTAAAAAGAAAAAAAAAGGAGAAGAAGAAGCGACAAGACAAAAAGGGGAAGGAACGAAGACACGCGAGCTGTATCGATTTCGCGCAAAAATAAAGAGAAACAAACCTATTGAAATGGTATCCAGCTTTTTCCCCTTCGTTAACGCACGTCGAATTCGCTTAACCGTCGATTCTCGTTGCAAAGGAGGACGTTGGGTAACCGACCACCTCTTCTGTTCACTGTTTATCGGAATTCTATCTGGTAACTCTTACGATACTCGATCCGTAGCGCATCCACGGGGTTCTGGTATGCCACAGTGCATATACGAGCTACGCAGGAGAACCACGGTCTTTTGAATAAAGCCGATAAAAATCGGTGGCATTTTGTAAATCAATGAGGGAGTTGAAACCTATGGCCTCTTTCTTCGCTTTCGTCTCGGTGCGTCTCGAACTTGTATCACCTATCGACTAAACATTCCAATGAATTCGATTCCAGACGACGGCAAAGAACAACGAGGAAGAAACACGTGCTCCTTTTGTTTTTATAGAAGTTCGATCTCCACGAAGTCTCGAGTGCACATCTTGCTTAATATGCGATTGCCTGGCTCCATTCGCGGTGCTATTATCAAAGATATGTATTAGGTTGTCCGAAATGTTTCTTTCGTTTTAGACGGAAATAATAGACGCACGATGTTTCTTGTTTTATATTAGTTTATCAAATTAAGCGCGAATGTAATAATAGAAATAGAACGAAATGAATCACACCTAATTCGATAAAATAATATAAAACAGAAATTGTTGTTCGTCTATTATCATGGAACGAAAGAAACTTTTCGGACAACTTAATAAGCGAGTTTATGTGTGGGCTTACGTGTCGTTCGATATATCTTGGTATATTGGTAATTTATAGTTTCAGTTTGGTGAGACGACGTTTTTGCTAGCAATTGGTAGAATTGAAACGTTCGTGAATGAGCTCTTTTTTGTATAGTTGAAGCAATATTGTTAATGAGATTAAGGAGAGCATTGTTTACTTTAGTCGACGCTCATATCGAGAAGATTAAAGTTCTGCAAGTAAGTTAGTCGAGTCAAGTAACTGTAGTTAGTTAAGGAACAATACAGTTCGATTATAAAAGCAAATTTTTCAGAAGAAAAATTTGCAAGTCAGTTGGTCATACTATCGAAGGTAAAACCAACATATTAGTAAAACTATAGATCTACGAGTAAATTGGCTTCGTTCGTTGAGTAATTAAACGACTAGCAATAAAGTTCTGTAGTATCGTAAATGATAATTATGATTTATTTCCAATGAATGGATTGCACAGATGTTGATTAAACAGGAAACGATGGTTGTTTAACGTGAACTAATCGCAATAACGTACTATAATTTAGACAACTCAATTTGTCATTCTCGTCACCACGGATCCAAGCTCTCTCTCTCTCTCTCTCTCTCACGCGGACCACACTCTCTCGACAACGCAACTCGCACTCCCTGACTTCTCGATTCACACTCTCTGGTTTCTCCACTGACACTGCCTGTCCTAGCATTCCTTTGGCTTTTCTTAGGTCCACCACGCACGTGTCCCGCATCCGCACGTGGCCAGGCTCACGTAGGGATTTTCTATGAAACTATTCAATCGAAGGACCGACGACACATTGATGGACCTGTCGATATCTCGGCTCTCTGGCGATAATGTTTATGGCTACCCACGGTTAAAGAAGAAATATACAAGTTCAGAAACAGATATAATATAAGAGTTAACAAACACCAAAACCCATTAGCTACTCAACTACTTGACACGATGGATCAAATCCGCAGACTAAAAAGACAATACCGTTTAGATTGAAGCATTAGATTCAACTAGAATCAAACATACTATAAGCTATTATAATCCAAGCTACAGTACCACGTCAAAAGAATTTACTTATAATTCTCAATGAGAATTGATCGTAAATAGTCAACGAAATAAAAAAAGAAAAGAAAATGTTTATGGTTCACCCGATATCTCTTAGGCCTTTCATCCCCGATACTACAGTTCTATCATTCAATTCATTCATTATACAAATCATGCTATTTAACGTAAAGTTATAAAATTGCGAAAGAGAAGTTTGCTATCCGCAACTTTCTAGCTATAGATTTCGTTACATTTTGAGCTTGCTCTTCCGTTTTCAGAGTAATTCTCCGTTGATTTTCTTGACGTAATATGCACCGACTCTTTAAACTAATAGAATTTGGTTTCGATAGAAATAGCCTCGTTAAATAACGCACAAAAACTACCGTGGCTGATTACGTGTTTTCCAAGAGAAAATACTTTTCACGCTATCTTGTAAAGTTATCGGTATGTAACTGTTTCTTACTCTAGATTCCGAAATATTGATACAACTTTTATTATTTACGAGCAAAGAAAAATCTAATTATAAGACTAAACGGCACTGGTGAGCACCTAAACTCGCGTTTTACGCGTTTCGCTGCGCGTGAAAGCGGATCCTGGAAAGTTCTCGCCAGTCACTGTCGTTCTTCGCCGGATAATGCCGGCGCGGTTGTTAACTTCCGGCTGTGCTTACGTTTTGGTACCCAGCCTCCAATTAAACGGCCTCTACTACGATCCTAGTCTCGCAAATTCTATTATTTCGCGGCGCGAGTTGCCTCTGCTACCATTTTCACGAGTTTCATATGTTGCGAATATTTCCGGTTAGAACGTGTTTTACATGTCTTCTTTTATATCTTCTTCTTATATCTGTTAGACCAGACTGGTGGAGATACCGGTGTGAAACGATTCTCGTGAACTTTGTTGAAATTATAGTGTGAAATCTTTTGCTCTTTAGCGCAAGTTAATTGTTTTTATAATCCTTTTAATCGCAACTGCTTTCTCTTTATTTCGAATCTCAGCGTTCCTTCTAAATGAAGACACATCGGAAATTTCAAGACAAATTGCAATTAATAAATTACTTATTTTACGCATAATTATCAAAAACAAATTCACGCGATAAATTGTTTTATACGCCATCGTTTTTATTATCATCGCGAAGTAAACAAATACGTGGAGCTTTATATTTAGACGGAGAATATTTCCACGATCTCGACGTTAATTAAAATATTTCAATAAAATCCAAATTTCGATTTCCAAGTCCCTCTTCATCGGTTGGTTCTGATCTCGCTCGAAAATTCATCGCGTTTTATATCTTCGATAAAATTATTCACGGGGACATTAGCTATGAAATCAACGTGGCATTATTCAAATTCTCCAAGCGACAAAGTAAATGGACGAATTCATACGGATTATTCGGGCCGACCTCGAATAAACGTTCGATCAGAGTCAAAGAGTGAATTAAATTAATAGAGCTCGCGAAAGAATATGACCGGGATGGATTTATTATTAAGCAGACGACCAGTTTGGTCTATCGACGTCGAAATTCTGTGACGCGTTAGTCGGATTTTTGAGATTTGCAGGAAACGATCACTCGAGTTAATATCGTTTCAAGCGAAGAATTATTATACGAGAATATGTTATCAATTATTCTCATGCAATTTAGATAATTCAGATAGACGGAGTAGATCCCAACAATAGAACCTTATTTCTTTTAAGCTCAAATTTACCCCTTTTCTTTTTAAACGACGTCATTAACTTTCGTTTACGATTAAATTCACATGCTCGTCGGTGTCTTTTTTATTTGAAATATCGTATGTGGATATTTGCGATCGTATATAATTATTTTGTAAATAACGAAAATCAGAGAGAACTCGAGAGCCATTTCAAACATCACGTAGTTCCTTCTTTCTTGGTAGAAAAGCAGATTTAAGAGGATAGTACTTGCATTTCAGTTTTCATAATTTCTTAATAATTATACAGAAACTAATCAGAAACTTCTGCGTTATAAATCAAAGAACACAAAAGCTGCATATAAAACCGAGATCAGCATTTTTATGAAAGAAGATCGTATGCTACGCGGCCGGTAACATAATTCTAACACTCTGCATATTCCCCGTTTGCCAAAGTATAGCGTATACTGGTGGAGGAGCCATAAACCCTGAACTTGTTACAAGCTAGACTTCAAAGTCGAGGCCGAGGTTCGTTCTCGTTAAGGCAAAGACAGAGCTCTCCGGGATTCGTTTCTCACGGGGCGAATATAAATATGGAATTAAGTAAATTCGTTCGGATACTCACTCGGATAAACTCGTAACGGGTCCGTATCCGGTTTCTTGACGTGCTTCCGGCCGTGGTCGCCTGAAAGTTTAATTACTCCTTCAGTTATATGCACGCCACGACGGTGTGGAAATTTTATGAATATCCACCGGATCCATGCCGGAGGACATCTTTCTTTTCTCGTTACTTTCCCTTCGTCGGGAAAACGTTCTTCGCTTTTCCTCCTTCGATGCTCTTCGAACGTTGCTCAAGATACGTAGCTCAAGGTGGTCTACGTTAACGTTACCAGAGGATAACGATGCTTCCAAGAGAAGTTACTTTAACGATCTTTAGAACAGTATATTTCTCGTGACACTTTGATTTAGACCGATGGAACGCGAACTGTATGATATTCGACGTACAAGTTCCATTTATATTTCGACTCGTCGTTCAACTCTGGATATTTATGGAAATTCGATCTGTTTATATTTTGTAATTGCGACCGAAAAAAGAAAATGAGTCCAGTCATTTAGAATTATATACGAAATATACGAAACAATATTTAAGGAAAATACGACGCAAAGATCGTTTCCTTCTCAATTTATCGCGACACGACACGGTGCAACTTTATTCGCGACCAAGTAAAGGAATAAAAAAAGGAAAGTAAAGAGAAACAGAGACGAGGGTGAGTAATTGTTTGCTTCCTGGATCTTGTTCGTTTGTCTTTTCCTTTCTTCGTTTGATTTCACCCGGTGTATCTTGTAATTTGCCTAGAGATAATGGTAGATTGATGGTAAGGGAGGAAGGAAGAAGCGACAGTTTCTTCGTCTTGGGATGCTTTCCTTCTTCCTTCACCGAGACAAAATTAGACCGATAAAGGAAGCCGTGTACTACCGTTTATATTTAATTACCTTCTATACCTAACGCTTACAAAGGAAAGTCATTGGATTGGAAGTATCAAATTTTTGCCTATGTAAATGATAAAAAGTGATAATTGTAACCCTTTGCGATACGATGGTTCTGCAGTTTCACGATCAATTTGCCACCAACAAAATACGCTATTCGATAAAATCACTAAAAGCGAACATTCCGTGTTACCTCTTCTCACGTATCACAAAATTTTCTACGTTATTTAACCTCGCAAATTTTTATCGATTTTTTTACGATTAATCGACGTTTCGATCATTACGGGGAAAAAAGCTTCGCAAAGGACCAAAAAAAATTATTCAAATTCCACGTGTATTATCAATTCCATTAACATTTACGAACCTCATGTGCTAGAAAAACCAGGTTATTCGCATTTATTTGCGTATTCTCATTGTTGCACAAGATTTATTCGCGTCGTAATCATTGGATCGTAAAGAGAATCACGGATGAAAATTTTCCAAAATTAATGTACAATGACCGTGTATATTTTTCGACGCGACGTCACGAGATACATATTCAACGATAATAACGGCGTGCTGGCCGCTGTGATAAGTTACATCGTCGAGTATAACTCGTCGCTCGTATGCACTCTCTTATGGAACTCATACAGACCTGTCTGTCCGTGATTTTTTAGCGAATTAGCGTCCGGCTCGGGTCCGTACGTCATCAACGCGCCCATTAGGACGATTAGGATGACTTGGACGAAGAACAGCTGGCATACTTGTTGCTTTCCACTCACGGAGAACATTCCCTAATGAAAGAAGCAAGGATTTAGTGGAAACTGGACAAATGTTTATTAACATTAGCTTTAATAACCGGCTTTAGACGTTTTAAGACGTCTTTTGTAAGCTGAACGTTATTGACCGGGTACGTGTCTAAGCGTTTTTTAAATCTGACCTTTGTTTATGAATAAACGTTAAAGCGATTAATGTTATTTACCGTAGATCGCTTAGCTACGTGGAACAAGCAACACTTTGCTATTATTATCAGACCGCGAATATCCATGTAACTTCGATACAGGCAACTTAATTCGATTAAAACCTTTTATTTATTTATTTCAGATATTTTATATAACTTTGTATACCATATTTTTCATTTATTCGTTTGTTATGTTCGTATGTTCCTGTATCTTCAAATTTGTCGTAAGTGCATAAACATTTTGCAGTCCCGTTATCATATGTAGAGCTGAGAATGCGAGTGGTGTAGGTCGTGCTGCTGCGTAAAATAGTGTTCTGCGTTTACTGTTATGAAGCATTCGTTACATTTCTTCGAGTCACACATTTCTATAAGTCACACGGTATTATAGATGTGGCAAATAGTAGAGAGATTGTATGAAGGTAATTAAATGAGAGAGAGAGAGAGAGAGAGAGAGAGAGAGAGAGAAGAGAGGATGCAAGAGTAGTATAATTGCGAAGGTTTGCAGGAAAGTTCCGGACATAATTCACGAATAATATTATGATTAATGACTAATTATTACGATTATATCTAATACGATGGCAGAGACATTGCTAAGTACATTTTTAACTATCTGTTCGTGAAAATATTTACAGTTTCGTACTATACGTGTTAAAAATCGATCCTTCCAACAAAGTTCTACTAAAAACAAATGTCATTCTCTATCTTTTATTAATCCGTTCAATACGAATCATTCGATAATTCGATATCGCAATCATACTGCACATTCTGCGTATCAATTATAATCTAATAGCGAAGTTCCGCTACAAGACAGCAAATACATTCCATAAACATATTTACACTATTATATTACGACCAAATTAATTAGCAAATATAGATATAAACAGAAATTCCAATAAGCAATTGCTATATCCTCGACAATCTCAAACCGTTACACGTATCGCAGCTGTACATGCAATAACGGATCGAAATTTTCTCATAATCTGTTCTTAAAAATCGTCAGGAAATATACAACGGTTCGCGAGATTGCACATAGTCGGCGTTATAAATATAAAACGTTCTAGGACGAAAAAGGGGAAATAATGCTTGCAATTATTCGAAGGTTTAAGCAGAAAAATTGCAAGCGCGGTACGATGGAAAACTCGATAATTCGTTAATCGTTTTCAGAGATAATATTTGTAAGGCAAATTGCGTGCGCGTGAGCGATGCAGATAGATGTTGCTCGGTTTAATGATATCATATAATGTTAAAGCTGAAATTTCAGTCGCGTCGCTGCCAGTTGTGTCACTCTCCATTCGTTTTCATCGTTTTATCTTTCGATGCTGATTTTCCGCCGATAATTGCAAGCGGGAAACGCGCAACCAGCAAGAATGAAATTAATGAACCCGATACGTACACGCAGACGTTATTTCATCGACGATTTCGCTCTGCTTCAGGTTTTTCGCCTCTCTGAGCTAAGATACAGCTACTCGAGTCGATCGAGTTTCTACGTTTTAGGATTCGATCCTGAACTTTCCACGGAATAACCAAACTCGGTGCGTATTATGAGATTATACTATTAATCTTTGATGCAATAATGGAAGAACCAGGAAATGATTTGTATTAGGTCGTCCGAAAAGTTTCTTTAGTTTTATAAGGAAATAATGGATGCACGATATTCTCCATTTTATATTATTTTATCGAATTACGTATGATCCATTTTGTTCTATCAAAATAAGAATCACAACGTTTGACAGATTAGGTCTCATGTTTGTATAAAGATGCATCATTGTAAAAGACGTGTCTGTAAAAGAAAGACACTTCTCGGACAACCTAATATTTTAGGTTTTGCGAGAAAAAATATCAAGAACGAGGAAATGATTTGTATTACGTCGTCCGAAAAGTTTCTTTAGTTTTATAAGGAAATAATGGATGCACGATATTCTCCATTTTATATTATTTTATCGAATTACGTATGATCCATTTTGTTCTATCAAAATAAGAATCACAACGTTTGACAGATTAGGTCTCATGTTTGTATAAAGATGCATCATTGTAAAAGACGTGTCTGTAAAAGAAAGACACTTCTCGGACAACCTAATATTTTAGGTTTTACGAGAAAAAATATCGAGAAGGAGGAAATGAGTATAACTCTATGACGGCTATATGATATTTTATCGTACAATTGTTCTATTTTTCGAAGTTATTTCGTTGTTTATTTTACTCGCCGACCCCAATACTCGTATCTTGCTCTATATGGAGGAAATTGTAAACGAAAATTCGTCGACTTTTCGATTTCGAAATCGCTCGACGAATAAACTGTTAACCAAAGAGGACGAGTTAACTCGATCCTTGAATTACTTGTTCTTCTGGATATCTCGCGATGAAGATAATTTCTTAATTTAAATTCTCTTAAGAAGAAGGCTTTCCCACGAAAAAACTTCATTCCACTTTTATCACGTAACTTTACGCTTAATATCACGTTGTGCACATGCTTGGAAAAAGACTGATTAACGAAGAACAAATCGATCGAAAGCTGCGATCATGCACCGAAGCGATTCGTATCCAAATTTCACGATGGCAGCGTCGTTCGCGGCGACATCGTTCAGGCAATATTTTTACCATTTTGATTTAGATAGCTTTGTAACTTGCGGCCGGTTGCAAAAAGCTCGTTTCACCCTTCACTGGCCGTCGATCAACTCATAGTTCTCGCCTGACGCGACAGATTTTTTATTGTTTCACAATTTCGTTTCGCCAAGAACTGTTCGTTTAAATGGAGCAGATCGTGTTCCCCGACGAGGCTATCTTAATTCGAACGACGTTGACGAATGACTGTGCCGGGGCAAAGATCGATGCAACGATGACTGTAAACGACGTAACGATGATCGTTGGGCGCGCGCGTTGAAAAGGACTTTTTCGTCGTTCGAATAAATTCTTGTCTTTCGAGGTTGTGAATCACTCCGAACGGTTTGGAGAAAGGATAGATTTCTCAATTTTTCGTTAGATTATTTAAGGCTTATATTTTATATCACAATAATTTTATAATACTTAATATTCTACAATACAATACTATTGTCAATTTTATCAAGTTCTAAATTTAGAAAAATAAAGAAATAAAAATTAAGAAGATAAATATCTATGGATTCTTTATTTGGCAAGAATACAAGCTAACACGATCGCAAGAAGAAGTTCCAATTATGATTTTTTCTTCGAATAAAACTATTTATTTTAAGACAAATTACACCTCTATCGATACCATTTGTTCCGAGACGACGCTTATTACTGTAACAACCTAAAAATACATTGGTTTGGTATCGGTAACCCATCAAAACCTATTTCCCAATAAACACACGAACGACAGTTTCGCGATATACCCAGCGGTTTGTAGAAGAATCACACACAGAGGGACAAAAGTATCTGTCGTGAAATCAACGATTCTCGGCCGATATATCGGCTCGTTCCCGATATTGTTTATCCGTTTCTACGATGGACGATCCAATTACAACACGATTGATCCTGATTGACCTCGTCGTCTAAATCTCCCCAACGGATATACGCCATTCCCTTAATGCCGACACGTTTGACGCGCGAACAGTGTCGCGAAGCTAACGTATAGCGTTTTTCAACGGAGGCGATCCGTTCGACAGAAACGTTATTATCCAGTCTTGCCTGGTGTTAATCGATTTCTCGTACAGTTCAGTGGGAAAGGATCGTTGAAAACGTTCACGCCTAATATTTCATCGTGGCACGTTTGGCCGGCAAACGATTTCTCGAACGTGTTGTTCGTGCCGCGTACTAGCAATTCCAATGATTAATTAACCCGCAATGAGTAGTGGAATTAGCGTTAATTCTCCTTTAAGTCGTTTAAGACTGAAATTTGATCGAATTAAATCTTAGCTAGAACGTGAACTGCGAGTGTTTGTGCGGATTCAAATACTTTGGGAAAATCGGAAATTTCATATTTAAAAAACGTAGAGTATCGTAAAACTTGCTATTAAATTCTTTCTGCAAAGATTCTTGAATTTTAATTCACTTTGTTCTTTTCCTGCCAATCTTTACCACGTTTCTCTGTTTTAAATCGCACGATATTGTTTTCGTTCGGCGAGCGAACAATCAATAAAGCGGAAAGTCAATCGGCTATTGTTATTACGCGATTAACTCGTAACCGCAAACTAACGTTCGATTGTTCGTCGACGATTCGAGAGGCGGTTTCTCGTCGACGATGCAAAAAGTGTCACGCGAGCGTCAAACGAAATAGCAATCGAATGTATTAGGAATGAAATCGTGACTGAACGATCCCATGTGAACAACTTCATACGGAATAACGAAAAGAGATGATAGATTTCTTTGTAATTTTCTGAAAACAACACGGCCATTTAACTCGTCGCGATCGAATATTTTATAGTTAAAAACTAGCGTATCTCGTCTGTTTAATTTTTGTAACGCAACGGTGAACGGACCGAACGATAATAATTATAACTTTGTAGAAATAATTTTTAATCGATGATATTCTTATCGATCAATTAATTTTAACTATTCTTCCAACAGGTCAATTTTTTAATTTCCTTATTTAAAAAATGTTTTAATTGTCAAACACTTAGAGCTTCGTCGCTCGTTGTTCGTTCGATAATATCATGTTTAATCGATTTCTCTGTATTATTTTATCGCTCAATCCCTAATGGGTTAAAACAAGGACAAAAGAAGATATTGCGACCTATTTTTATTAAAAGTATAATAAGAATTTCTATCGTTCGAATTCTCATTATTTAAACGCTTTTACTGTATAGAAGATTTTAATGGCGCTCAGAAGCGAAACGTTAGATACTGTCCTCCTTCGATCGTTCGTACAATGCGGAAAAAACAAACAAAAAAATAAATAGAGAGAAAAGAAAAATATCGATATCTGTATGCGAGGAAGCTCTCGAATTCAATGGAAAATCGACTGGAGAGGCTGAAAAACTTGCGTGATTCCGGCCCGCCGGAAAAATATGGAACTCGTAACTCAAACCTTTACCCAAAACATTCCTTTTTCTCTTGCTATTACCATTTTGCTTTCTCTCTTCTGTTGTTCCTTTCTTTTTAAATCGCATAAAAATCAATACCCGACAAAAACAGGTATTACGTTGCTGTATGTCGAATAGAATAGAGGAACTCGCCAACTCTTGATTAAATTGTCCCCCTTTTTCTAAAAATTATTTTTTCCTATCTTTTATATTTTTTTACAACATACTAGAAAAAAATTCCACGCCTAGAAAGCATGAAAAAATGTTATTCTATCTGTGTACTCTTCCAGAAATATTCCACCGTTGTGCAGATGTTAAAAATATCAAATCATTTTACAATTATAACGATGGAAACTAAAAAGTCGACACGGACAGGGAGATCTACAGAAATTAATCGTTGTGAATCTACAAATTTCCTATGAAAAATTATAAACTCGTAATTTTCACCACTCTAACAGTCGACAGAAACTCAAGAATTTCTTAAATCGAACATACTTGTTATTTATACCATTCTTTACCTAAGTCCATCAAACATGTTGATATTTCAAAGATATCCAGTATGGAAATTAGCGTTGGGGAACTAGCACCGATGGAAAAAGAAATTTCCTCTGTCGATTCGCATAACAAACGAATGCCAGAATGTCGGAGAACCAAGCCAATCTCTTTATCCTAATCAGCGCTAAAAACAATTTTCTATTAACATTAGAATTCCAAGTTAAAGGTTTGTATCAAATCAAAATGAAAAACACACGATAAGATATATGATGCAAAAGAAGAAAACAAACTATCATCCGTATACTTTCCAAAAAGTCATTCGGATCATGAAAAATTCTCATCGAAATCATTCGATTATTCCGACTATTCTGTTGGTTCCATCGTTAATGTTCTCGTTTACATATTTCTCAAATTAATCGTTCTTCCGTGTTCTTGAAATACTGCGGCAGGTACTTCGGGGATATTCGATGCGAAAATTAGTATCAAAGGAACCAACATCGAAGAAACACAAAATTACCTGTGTTCCTCGTTTTGCATAGCGAGTAGCTGCTAACACGTGAAAGAAACAAGCCAATCCCTTTGTCTCAATCGTCGTTCCTTTATGGCGAAAGGAGGGCAGGGCTTGATTTGTGAGCGGCACAATTATTTCCACGTGGAAAACTCTGCCAGTGGAATGGGTTTCCGATGGAAACAGAAGCAAATCACGGCTGCAGACACTGCAGAGGATTATACGGAAGCTGCTTTCATAAATTATGCGATTTATCTTAGAGCTCGCGGATGCTTTTTTAGAATAACGATGAGCTCGAGTAACTAGCATCCGCCGCCCTTCTTTCTTCATTTTCTCGCCCCTATTTTTCGCGAACCAGGACCGTTCCGTGTCTTCGCAAGGGTTGGATAAGGTACACGAAAATCAATTTGCTTCTCTACGAACCTCTCGGCTCACACGAGATATTTCCTTGACCGCACGGCGAAGAAATCGAATTTCCTTTTCATTGAACGACCGCACGGACTCGTTTAAATCATTCGATTTATCGTCATCCCTCTTCTTCTTCTCGTCACTTTCGCGTATTACGCCGTTGATTATTTGTATTTATCTAAATCAGTTTGCTTTGTTTCCGCTGGTAAGAAACTTTTACAATGAAATTCGCTAAATCGTTTGGTAAGATATTTAAAGATTATTTGAAACGGTGTAGCATATTATGACTGACACTATGATACTACGATAGGTTATGATACACTTTACAGTCGCCATAAAGCATGATCTTAAAGAGTGGAAAATTTCATTGCAGAAATAGAATACAGAAAGCTAGGAAAGAAATTACATTTTAATCCCGTTCCTTGTCTGTCAGAAAAACGTTTACAACGCTTAATTTCCTTTTATGGAGCGTTTCGTACAGCTACCTTGTTCCAAATACCTTCTCATTAATGTAACTAACGACAAAATAAATCTCAATTTAGAGGGAAAAAATTTAGCCTGAAATTTACCTTGAAAAATCTACGATACGCAACAGACTGAGAACAAAATACACGGTAACCTGCCCTTATTCGGTCATTAACTTATCCGGTCAATCGTTCTCTACGTTTAATCAAATAAACTTCTTCTGCCAAACGTCCAAACTACCGATCGGTTCTCTCGTTATCCACTTTGTTTCTACCCTTTCGACCAAACCGTCAAATCCACGTTGTCCAGTGTAATCGATAGATCGCGGGCTTTTCTGCATATTTACATTAACGGACGCAGTTAAAGAAATAGAATTTAAATAGAAATTTCACGCTCTAAGGGAAAGACGCTCTTAAAGTTAAACTTTATAATATTCTTATTTCCCCTTTCGTTCTTTACACTCTCCACGTTTTTACACAATCAAATTTCCCATAAACGCATCAACAGCCGCAGTCTACTAATCTCGAACCTCGAGTCGCCTCGTCAAGGAATCTCCGCCGATCTTCCCTAGACACAAAAAACAGAAGAAAAATGAAAAGAGAACACGATTTCCGCGCACAAAACAGCAGAAAACACGACAGTAATCCGACAAGAACGCACAACAGGTTTATATAAACTCCGTGAATTAGCGATAATTGGTCCTTTTACATAATTCTGCGTGGATGACCACGCGGAGTCAGTTTAGTTCTCCAGAAATAGGCGGGTAGCAAGGATCCCACGACGTTGCGTTGAATTTCTCAAGTTGAAACGCGATACCACTCGGGCTACTGTATCATCGCCGACAATTAGCCTTACTAATTGAAAGTAGGCCGGCTAAGAATGAGGATTTATTGTGTCCAGTCCTCTGGACGCTAATGACGCGCAAGACGAGTGGTTGGCTCGCTGTGTTACGCGTGTAACGGCGAGGGAAGGTCAACGAGACGACGAGACGATGGACATGGTGGAAATAACATGGACGAAGTCGGGATGGAAGTTCAGGACGAGAAGATTTTTCGCTCAAGAGGAAGATTTCTTTCTTGAACGAGAACGTGCATGTCGAAGCTACGAATGCTACATGCACTCGAGTTCATACGTTTTTGGGGATTTTTGGACTAGTGTTCGACGACTGATCGTTCAATGATAAATTAATTGGCTAGTCGCTCTTTCACCTAACGATTTCCTTTGCGCTATGTTATTTCTTTTGCTTTTCTTTCCTGTGAAACTCGCGTTCGCTCCGGATCGTTAATGCAACTTTCATCCCTGTAAATAGGAGATCGTGAAACTTTCGAAACGAAATATTTAACGTCCTTTGAATCTTCCTTATTCAACCTTCTTTAGAATTTTTCTTTTTTTATCTGTAACCTTGTACACTTATATTATATTTATTATGTTTTATTACAGTAATATCACGAGATTTATTTTGCATGTGAATTCATGTAATTTCGTTTATTACGTATATTATTTACGTAAGTTGATTTCTTGAAATAATACGTGCTTTTCACGGCAGAATTATTTTCCCTTGGCCCGAACGCGCCTTATCAGCATCGTATTTCCATTTCCTTCATTGCGAACAATTTTCCAATTTTCTCAAAATTTTCATACTTGAAGGATTTTTCGAAATTCTAACATTCCGACGACTTCTTCAAATTGTAACGTTCCAAGGATCGTTCGTGATGCCATTTTCAAAATTATTTTTCTAATCCTCCTCAAATTTCTTGCATTATAACGAACGGAGGAAAAAGTCGCTGTCAAAAATTGTCAAATGACATCTTTTCGCGGTCCATATCTTTCCATTCCAGCAGATTTTTTTTTTAAATTCTCTCCACGGATCCACAGTCGTGGCACGATTTACCGGAAGTGAGATTGAATCGAGGCAATCGAGCGGTCGCCATCGGTCGAAACCACCGGTCTTTCATCCGCGAATCGTTCGTGGCTAATTATATTCGAACCGCGACTTCAAATGCAGCGATTCAACGAGAGAGTGTTTTCGACGTTTGTCAACGAGCCTCGAAATGAAAAAGGTGAACGCCGTTACTCGATATTTTTCATTTTGTTTCCTCCGTGCCAGATGTCTCTATCGTAATCGTGTTCTTCAATCTCATTCTATACAGGGTGTTTCTTTTGTAACTACATATACTGGAAGCACGTCGTAAATGGTTGAAAATATAAGAAAGAATTATTACACGTAATACGAGTTTTTTGATACGAAAAAGAATACCGTGCGGTTTAAATAATTTTTGTGCTTCTAAACGAAGTAGACGAAAGGATTTTTAAGTATTCACGGTTCTTTTAAATATGTCGAACGTAGTACAATTTTACTCGTAATATTAATCCTCCTAAGTGGAATTTCGTGGAATCACGAGTTTTTTTATACAATTTTATTTATAACGCAATATGTTGTTCGTTAAGATAAATTCAATGGTTATACACGTTATACAAGATTAGTCACGCGATATACATATATTTACCGAATCGGAAATTGCAGATGGAAGAAAATTTCCAAGACAAAAATTATAAGCTGTGTTTAAACAGGCGCAGGTGGTACGTGTAAGCACATTTTTTGTTCCCAGTCTGATCAAATATTTCCAAATTTTTGTTCAAATATTTGTTGAAAATATTTTTTACACTCTCCGTATACACGCGTCAGTTTACCTCGCTGATAGTCGTAATTATTTCTCTACGATAATACTTCGCTTTGTATCTCGTTGCGTTGTTAATTTTCTAAAAAAAAGCGGCAAACAATTATCTTCATCCGTTGCCTCGATAAAATTTCCGTTTCTGAAGAAGTTACATCGTTTCGTTTCCAAGAGAAACGAAATGGAAGCTCGATTTCTCCATCGTAAAAGAACGTTTGGTTGGAAAAGAGAAAAAAAGGGGGAAGGAAATTAATGAAATTCTTAGCGACGCAGAATGCTTTTCTAACTGCAGCGCCATTGGGAATAGGTGAATTATAAAAGGGCCCTTTTAGACGCTTTTAACAAGTGGCCGAGAAGAATGGAGTGTGTTGCGAGAAATCCTTCCTAGAATGATTGCAAGTGAAAAGGTTTCTTGCTGCGAGACGGAGAAATTCTCGAGGCGAAAGAATACCGTTGCAAGATACTTGCGCTACGATGGCTTTTTACATATTTATCGTCAACTACACGTCGAATCTAACGTTTCTGAATTTCAGAAACTCCGACATCAAGTGCTTCGTGTCCTTCGTTATCCATTGGCGCACAAAATTTCATGAAATTTTTACCATATTTCCAACGACATATCAAATATTCCTCGAATCAATTCGCAAACGTTAACTCGCTAAACGATAATTCTACGAAATCTTTTGAATTTCTATGAGCGTGGACATTTTGAACGCAACGGCTATTCATAATAACGCGCGATATCGAAAACAACGTTACAACGTCGCTAACAGAGTTACGATTCATTTAGGAGGTGAAGATCGTTACGACGTGGAAACGTCTGGTTTGCAGTCGATGATTGCGATTTCGATACGGTTAGTTTCGAGGTATTATACTTGTATCGTTAATTGAGCAGGGGAGATCGATATGCGCAGCTGAGATAAATTAAATCGAATCTGTAAATGCGTACCAATTACCGCGGCTTTAGCTCCGTCCTGTATAACTCGCTGTAATTTACAGCCGACGTTCTGCGTGTTGATGCTTTCGAGAGTCTGGTTTCACTTAATCTCCGTAGCGCTCGATGCGTGCACAGTCTGGTCCACGAGTAATGGGGTTAAAGATCTCCTGTTATATGGAGGTACATTTACGATTTAGGTGGATTTCAAGTTAGACAAACCAGAACCACGCGATACATAACGTAACGATGTAATTCCGATGACCGAGATGTAAGAGATTTTTAATTCAAATCCGATTACAGTGGAAATTTATTCGAACTTTTAACGATTTAGCGTGTAAATAACGAACTTAACGAATTTCGAGTTAAGCAAATCACGTCGATGTAATATATCGAGTAAAAGTATAATTCTTGTAAATTTCATAGTACTTATTATCTTGTTTTTTCTTTAATACGATCTTCTTTTACGTTATTGTTGCAAAATATCAATATTTATTACGAAATATAAAGATTTGATTCTACCTGTGATAGAAACTTAGCATAACGATTTAGCGTGTAAATAACGAACTTAACGAATTTCGAGTTAAGCAAATCACGTCGATGTAATATATCGAGTGAAAGTATAATTCTTGTAAATTTCATAGTACTTACTATCTTGTTTTTTCTTTAATACGATCTTTTTTTAGGTTACTGTTGCAAAATATCAATATTTATTACGAAATATAAAGATTTGATTCTACCTGTGATAGAAACTTAACATAACGATTTAGCGTTAAATAACGAACTTAACGAATTTCGAGTTAAGCAAATCACGACGATGTAATATATCGAGTGGAAGTATAATTCTTGTAAATTTCATAGTACTTACTATCTTGTTTTTTCTTTAATACGATCTTCTTTTACGTTATTGTTGCAAAATATCAATATTTATTACGAAATATAAAGATTTGATTCTACCTGTGATAGAAACTTAACATAACGATTAGCGTGTAAATAACGAACTTAAGGAATTTCGAGTTAAGCAAATCACGACGATGTAATATATCGAGTGAAAGTATAATTCTTGTAAATTTCATCTTACTATCTTGTTTTTTTCCAATACGATCTTCTTTTACGTTATTGTTGCGAAATATCAATATTTATTACGAAATATAAAGATTTGATTCTACTTGCGATAGAAATTTAGCAGAATCTTTAACGGATAGTGGACGAGCAACGAATTTCGAGATTTCGTAATTTACAGTTTAACGAAGCTTCTAGTCGATCGAGCGAAGGAAATCCGATTCAAGATTTAAGGATTACAAATATTGGAATTTTATTGGTACGATCTTCAAGTATTTTTCCCACCAAGGAGGAATTTCAACGTCTATAGAATTTTCTAGAGTTGTCGTTGAGAACTCGAAGAACTGATATAGAATAGGTTTCTGTGGAGTCGTCGATACCGGAATAATATTAGTTCCGCGTGAGAAACGTCACCGTCCATAGAAAATTTCCCAGGTTTCCCACTAGCGAGTTTTAAGATCCATAGAATTGCTTCATGGATTGTAACCGTAGAGCTATAGGTGATAGAATTTCTCCCTTGCTCTCTCTCTATGAAGCGGAAAACAGGCAATTCAGCGGAGTTGATCGATGTAGATCCATAAATTCGCGACATCGTTGGCCCGGTAATCGAACACGGAGATATTTATTATATTTATGAGCTACTTACGGGAACACATTTCCCAGCGTGCTTACCGTGTCTCTGTAGAAAAGCCTTGGATGGAAGTGAGCCACTCCGTAGTAATTTATGCCGTCATATCGGCTACTTCTCGTTCGCTCTAAATTCACGCTAAAACCGGTCGTTCGTTTGCCACTCGCGAATCGATGCCTCGGCCAATTTCACCAATTATAGTTACGAACAATTAGGATTGCTAAATTTTGCCGAATTAAAATTAAAACAACGAAGGAGAAGTCGGAAAGATGAGAGAAGCGAACGATAAAATAGATTTATGAGGGAGAATAAGTTGAAAAATTCGGGTAAATCAAGGTATACTTTTTCTGGAGAAACTTTCGCCAAGATCGATGGTATCGCACGAAATCGTTCGCTTGTTCTCTCGAAGACGGACAAGCACGTACTCGGAGCAAACAGTCGTTCAATGCCGACGGATGACACGCGATCGATTTGCATTGGAACACGAATCGATGGGTGATCGTGTATACCCAGACGATTATGTATTACGAGGAACAGCTAAAATCAGGACAGCTTCGCTCGAGTCGCAGGAAGTCGATTATCGCGTGTTTCAGAGTTTGCCGGGTTAAAGCCAAAATGTCTTTTTAACCGATAAAAAGTCGCGTGTAATACATAGGTATTTAAATAAAAATATAAACATTATGTAGCGATCGAAAAACCAAGAGAACAAAAATATTAATAGATAAGTATTTTTAAGATATTTTAACGAGGTTAAACGAAAATGCTATAGATTTAATGCGTTACCATTATTTCGAAATTAGTCGCGTGACTCACGGAATAAATATGCCACTTAAACGCGCATCAGACGTAGAATTAGCGAATGCACGTTCGTCGTGGGATAAACAGACTATAGAATCACGTACGACTTACTAATTTTATTATTTATTCGCTTTCTAATGCATCTGAAATGGCAATGAAAAAGGAAGAGACGCATCCCATGGTCGTCTGGTATTCCAGTTTTCCGCTTCGATTCTTATCAAGCCACTGACGACCTTTGATCTCGTTAAATTGCTTCCGTTTAATATTTGCTCGATCTTAAAAAAGGAAATTACAAAGCAGGAAATGCAATAACCAGGAAAGGCAAAGCTCTTAAGAATCCAGACATCTCTGTCAATTTAGAGCAACAATGTATAAATGTACGAGTTAATAGTAAATTTAAAAGCGCGTAGGTTAATAGAATTTCGCGAACAACTGATTTTGCTGTCGCGCGTTAAGCTTTAAAAATCGATTCTATCGTATCGTAATATTTTCTAATATACACGCGTATCTATAAAGCTTTCTCAATTATAAATAAAAATGAGAAACGTCGATGTCACTCTTGTTCGAGACTTTCTAATGAAATGAAATTTTGTCGAGATAACAAAGGCAAGCAAAGATACGGTAGAAAAGGTAAAAATAATATTTTGCTTCGGCCATAAGTAGCAAGGTAGTAAGTAAAGTCCATAGATAGACGGACGAAGGATAATAACTGGAAAAGTTATCGAAACATGTTTTTGGAAATGATTTTCTCATTCTCGAAGGTAATCGATATTCCAGCAGGCAAAGATATACATTTCACAACGTTCTTCTTTCTCGACGATTTATTTATTTATCGTTTAGATCTTACAAAAGAACATATAATACATATTACGGCTTGACAGTGAATTCATAAGTAGTACATTATTCAAAACCTTAGAACTTATATCGTAGCGCACTCACGCTCGTGTGTTAGCTTAAAAATTAGAATCACTCGGTGTGAGAAAGAACTCATACGTACGTGCGTACTTACTGTCCTTGGACAGGTGTATATGATAGTACACATGACGGCAAAAGTATCGATGACAATCTCGTGTGCCGTATGCGTACACACGTACGACACGATTTCCGAGAATTCGGCGTCTGATCGTTTCCGCGTTTCATCCTCTTTGTAAATAGAAACAACGACAATCACCGTAATTACTTACGCGTAACGAAAGAAAAAAGAAAAAAGAAAAAATACGGAAGTCACAAAATTTCGCTGTATTTCTCGTTAAACAGTTTTCTTTTTCCTTTCTTTTCTTTTTTTTTTATTTTTTTTTATTTTTACACAATACGAAACTAAACGAAACTCGCACGATTACGCTATATCTCGTCGTCGAATAATTTCTTTCTTCCGTGTTGATAATACGAAAACCGAAATTCACACGATTTCGATCGCGAATCGTAAAGTTTCGCTGTGTTTCGTCGAATAATATTTTCTTTTCTTTCTTAGTAATACGAAACGGAAACAAGATTCGTACGATCTTACGGCTAAAAAACGGGGGACCGCGTCGTCGTCGTTCGCTCGACGACGTTTAAAATGGCCCCTCCTCTCATTTAAATACAATACAAGAATCGAACGTGCTTATACTATATTCTCTTATATCTTTCACATTCTTTTTCTTTTCTCTCTGATCGGAGCGATTTTAGAGCGATTCGCTCTGCAGCTCCTCGGTAATGACTCGAGTATTAATTCTGCTTTTAAAAGACGTGATCGATCAAAGGCGGACGATGAATATCCGGTTGTGTTAATGAGCTTTCCTAACGACTAACACCGAACTTTCCTTATCTTTGGTTTACCTACGAGCTTAATATTTTTTTTCCAGAGAATTCGTATGTTTTGTGACTGTGTGTAAGGTATGGATGTATATGTATGTTTGTATGTGTGTCTTATATTCGTGTGAAAGAGAGCGAGAGAGGGGGAGAGGGAGAGGGAGGGAGAGAGAGAGAGAGAGAGAGAGAGAGAGAGAGAGAGAGAGGGACAGATAGACAGACCTTTTTGTTATTTTTCTTTTAGACAGAATCGTACTTAAGCCTAGCTTAGAAGATATCGTTTTTTTTCCTTTTCTTTTATATCCTATGCTCATCGAGAATCATTGAAAAAACTCGGAACGTTTTCTAGAACATCTTTTATATCCTCGATTCGAGCGAGAACGCTCCACGCACACGTGAAACATGGGAAATCGGCTATCGGTGCGTTCATGGGATTTTCCTTTAACTTTCTCGTTTCTAGTAAACTGCGGATTTTTATGCGTTTAGGGAAAATATAGAATTATATAAAAACCGTGTAAACATGCGCAAATATATAAAATATTCACGGTCGATTGATAATAATAGTAATACGTAACGTAATTTTTAATACGTAATTACCAAGCGAAACAAATCCCGTTAATAATTCATCTTCGATCGGACGAATAAAAATATGGATTTGCATAAATATCCGCAATCTTTAATAGTTGGTAGCTCCTTTGTTTTCGTTTCTTTCTTTTTTTTTTTTTTTTGAAATAACGTGGCGCACGCGACAACCCCTTTTGGTACACAATTTTATTCGTCCCTTCGTTTTTCATTTTCGTTTACTTTTGTTTTAGCTTCGTTTTGTTGTATCTCTTTTGTCTCCCTTCGTACGCGTGCGTGCGTCTCCATCGACAACAGACGTCGTGCCACAAAATGCCATCGTGCAGGACGCATGGATGACGATATACAATGAAGTCGGCGAAGAACAATGACAATGAGAAAGAATTGGATTAGGGTAAGACGACGTGGTCGAAGATGAGAAACCAGGGGACTCGTTCATGGAACTTCGTACTCTTAGCCCTTGTGACTGATGCTACGTTGGCAAGAGGATCTTGAGATTGATCGAAAATATCGAATAGAGCGATCAGTTTCGTTTCACAGATACCGCCACTTCTACTACTTGCTCTCGTTCACGTTCCCCAATTTTAATTATCTTCTAACGTCTAAAGATTTGTCTCGTCATTGTTAAATTTTGATTCGCTCGATGCTACGTGTTGTCCTCAGGGTCGCCTTGAATTCTACCGAATCTCTTTCTCAAGAAATCTCCGAGAAAACGTATTTTTCATTCGATCTTAGTCGCTCAAATCCCCCAATCTTTTCGTTACCCAGAAGCTTCGCTCGCTCGTCCCAATCTCAAGATCGTCCCTAGCAGAAGAATCCAGTTCGCCTACCTCAAACTTTTTCATCTAAATCATTTGTCTTAAATTATTTTCTTCTAAGTCTGCAAAAAAAAAAAGAGAAAAATGGAAAAGAAGGAAGAAGAGTAAAAAAGAAGAGGAAAGAACGTTCCCCAAATTTTCTCATCTCGTCTCGCGCTCCATTTTCCCTCCTTTATAATACCGGGAAGTAGAAGAAGAATAGAAAAAATGGTTGTTCCTTCAGAATCTACGTTCCGTTTTCTACACGTTGCTCGATCAACCGATTAAGGATCAACATCGATTAAGGAAAATAACATCGAATGAGATCTTGAAATAATCGAATCTTGAAATAATCGTCGAATAATTTAAACACCTCGCCTGACATAGACAGAGAAGCGTATTACAATGATAGATAATTCGTAAAAGTACGAAAATCGGTTCTCTGTACGTAAGTCGGGAAGATTTCTGACTTCCTCGACCCTCGTAAAGTTGTATGGCCTACATATTTCATCGTAGATAGGACGAAATAAATTTTTGGTATTTCGGTTCGCAACTTCGATGTTGAAAACACTGGAACGCAACAACGTAAATTGACGGAAAAACGACGTTGTGTGAATGCAACGTTGTCCCTTAATGGATCGAGGCTCGTTTTCAGTGCGCGCTATAATCGAATTTTCTCCATCAACTCACCAATCCCATCCTCTGCAGCCAAGGTCATTTTGCAGTCCGACCATTCATATACTATATATCGCGATACTATATATATGATAACGCATATACTATGACAAACAATCTCAACATCATCGATAATTCTCCATTTTTCTACTTTCTTTCTCTAGATCGCGCGGGGCAAGCGATACTCCACGTTATCAATCGTTCGTCCGCTGTTATCAAGGGGTGCTCATCGTTTCGATTGTTCCTTTCGACCCTACACGCCATTTTATCTTCGATCGTTTCGCGTTACGATAAAAGCGACGCGCGGGCTACCTTTAGGGGGAAAAAATGAAAGATAAAGCGCAATACGAAGCTTTACGTTTCCTTTCAATTTCGTTTCATTCGTGCGCGTAAATCCTCGACTTTCTCGTTTGTTTCTTGGTAGACAGACGCTTTAAATTAACGTAAACGTATGATTAGAAGGAGAACTTAGACGTACGCTTATTATACCGTATCAGGCGATTCTTCCGCATTCTTTGGGAAAATCGTTGAGATCAACTGGCGGCAGAATCGAGTTTCGACATCTTTTGGTCACCTGTCGCCCTTAGTTTTGTGTTTTCTTAACAATGCAGCAAACATATATCGATGGAAGAAATTTTGCGATCGAATAAGCTCGGAGATGCAGAGTTTTGTAGGATCGAATTATTATTCGAATAGAATTGAGAATTAAAGATTAGATTTTAATTTCTGTCTGGAGAATTTTTACGATCGTAGGATAATAAATGAGTAG